ATGTGGTGGTCATTTTAAAATAGAAGTAACAGCAACGTAATTAGGACTCATAGGAGAGCAGTTGGATTTTTTATTTTTAGTATTTCAAATGGTCTGTGAAGAAATATATTAATTTTATTAAGATACTTATGAATAATTTTCGCATACCCTTTGTTAATGATAATTATTAACAAGTTGACTAGAATTATTCTACTCTATTAAAAAAATATATATAATTTTTGTTTATGNCTACTCTATTAAAAAAATATATATAATTTTTGTTTATGATATTTTAACTGTTTTTCTGGTTAAATTATTATACATATTTTTCAAGGCCGTATTTAGGTTTAGTTGTGCCCCTTCCAAAAAATTTTGATTTATTTTTCAAGTATTAGCATATGCATACTTCATAATAATATTTTTCTAGCTTTTATAGAAGAAAATTCTAAGCTCCTCTTAAAATTGTGCCCTTTTGCCATGCCCAATACAAATCATTTGATTTGTATTTAAATTAATATATTGTTAAAAAAATGTTGGGAAAGAATTTTTAGTTCTGGAACGGAGGCCAAAACTTAAAGTGGTGTACCTAATGGAATTTAATAAAAATTTTAACGTGAAATATTTTGTTCGTATTATAAGTTTATCAGGAGTTATCAATTTTTAGTTATGTTCGTGAAGCTGGTGGTGTGTGTATAGCCGACGAAGTTCAAGTTGGTTTTGGCCGAGCAGGAACGCATTATTGGGCTTTTCAAATTGATGGACCGGATGTTATACCTGATATTGTGACAGTAGGCAAACCAATGGGTAATGGACACCCTGTAGCTGCCGTTATAACCACAGAAGAGATTGCTCATAGTTTTGCTGCCACCGGCATTCAATATTTTAATACTGTGAGTTCTAAAATAAAATAAAATAGTATTTAGTCATTACTTTATGGTAAATATTTTATCAAATCATTAAAGTAATTAACTGAATTGATTTGATAGACTATTTTATGAAAAATTCACATAATCAAAGTAGTTTTGCAATGAAATTTTAGTTGTAATTTTTCAAGGCATACAAATTGTCGAATTCATTAATCTTAATATTTGTAGTGGGATTTTTTTTATTGGGTTTGAGTAATCTCAGTACAATTTTAGTAAGACTATAACTATGTTTTTAGTATGGTGGTAATCCTGTATCCTGTGCCATATCAATAGCGGTAATGGATGTTATTGATGAAGAAAACTTAATGGAAAACGCTCGAGTTGTCGGCGATTACTTGTTGGCAGAAGCCAAAAAATTGCAAGAGTTGTACCCGGATATGATTGGAGACGTTCGTGGCATTGGGTTGTTTATTGGAATTGAATTAATAGGTAATTCTAATACTAAGGCTCCGGCGACCGAAGAAGCCAAACAACTTGTTAATCGGTAAGGACCTCATGAATTTTGATGTTGTATTTAATCAAATTGAAAATGATTTTTTATTTATAATTTATCTATTTAGTATGAAAGATGAAGAAGGAATATTATTGAGTACTGATGGACCTGACGCAAATGTGATAAAATTAAAACCTCCAATGGTATTCAACATTGCCAATGCCAACAGGTTCTTAAAATCATTTAAGAAAATAATTTTAGAATTGAGAGATCAAAGAATGATGTAATACTTTTTTGAAATTTATTTAACTACTAATCCATACAATAATTATCCTTGTTAAGTTAATTTTAATAAAATATATTTACTCTTTGTTAAAAATATTTATTATCATTTCAATGATTAGCGTTTAAACAAAACTGATAAATATTAAGAAATGATAGGCTGTCATCGACTTATTTTAAAATAAATAGAATAATTTATTTTGGATGTCAAACACTACGAGAATTAATAATTTAAAATCATATCTAAGAATACACGATATCCCACTAGGTTTTAAAATCTTTAATAACTTTTGATTCAACAAATATTTTTCGTTACATTTTTTTAAAAATAATTTTTATAGTTTTAGGCAACGTTAAAAACATAGTTTTTTATTATTCGTCTCATATAAGAAAAATATAATTTTTCAAAATATCAATATTTTGCATATTTCTTACAGAAAAATTTAATGAGTCGATATTAACTTTAGGATAATTACTTATTGAGTTACAGGCAGTTTAGTATATAGAGTGAGTATGTAACCTGGGCGGAGTATGCATTATAAATATATACACCAGTATTAACTGTACCCACCCACTCGCGCTACAAATCTCGCTTTATGTACAAAAAATGCTTGTAACTCAATAAAAAATGGCTACAGTACAATGGATATTCATTTATTAACCATTTAGCAGTTTTAGCGCGTCTGTATTTATCATTTATTTCTTAACCAGAAGCACAGCATTAAGTTGGACAAATTGTAATAAGGTTAATTCTTG